GCATTGATTGAAGTAGGTCAACTGAGGGTAACTATCCATTATGTCTATGACCGATCAATAAATAGAAAAATTATTTCATTATACCAGTTTAATATTAATTTTTACCAGTTTTCAACATTTCCGTGGATAGCCTTATAGCTCTGTATTTCTCTGCATTGCTGCCATTTAATTTTCAATATGGCGCCTGTCCTGAATTATTCGATGGTCTCCGTGAGGAAAATCCGTCACGCATGCGCACTTGAAATTTATATACCAAAAAAGGTTTGCCGGCTACAGACCATCGTCCAAGTGAAAACATTGTCGTCACCGTAACTGATTTTCAAAGGTCCGGGTTTTCTCCCTTTGATTTGTAACCGCCACTGTAGCTGATAGAAGTTCACTGTAGTCTAGCGGATAGATTTTATTATCTTTAACTAAACTTCACCTAGCATGGAGGCAGTTGAAAACGTCAGAATTGCAGACGAAGCTGAAAATATTGTTACCGATGAAGAAAGTAAGATCATAGCTTTAGCCGAGGTTAAATCGCCTACTTTCGGTTTCACTGAAAAAACTTGGAGAACTGACCTGTGTCTTGTTGTGGAAGGAACAAAGCTGTACGTCGCAAAGGTGATTCTTTCACTTGCTTCGCCAGTATTTGATGCAATGTTTCAATCTGACTTCAAGGAAAAGTCTAGTGACAAGCTTGAATTGCCTGGGAAGAAACTAACGGACGTTTTGGAATTCCTTCGATGTATTTACCCGAACACATGCGCCCAAATCAATCGCGACAACGCTAGGAAAATTCTTCCCCTTTTAGAAGAGTACCAGGTCTTTCAACATAAGTCTAGATGTGAACTGGTTCTGTTAGAAACTGTCACTGAAGAAACGACGACGGATGAATTGTTACAGTTGTTGAAGGAAGCATGTTTGTATGATCTTAAAGCTCTGCGTGCTAGATGTATATTTCTAATATCATCTAGACCATGTGATGCATTGGACGAAAGCTATTGTGAGTCGTTTCCATCGGCAAGTGCATTAAATGAGATATTTGTTAATGTTAATACAACAATGAAGAAAAAGATAGAAGAGTTTGAACAAGTTGCTGAAGAACATCTATTGTTTAAGCAGTACATGTCATCAGAAATACGTAAAAGAAAGAAGGATTTGAATTTAGATCCTGAAAAGAAATGGGATGACAAGACCATAGTTTTAATTGATGCTATTCCAAAGAACAGGGAAGAAAGTAAGGGAGTCGATATTTCTATTTGGGAGGTTCCACTGAAGATAAGCATAGTGAGAGAGAATAGTAAGCTTTACTTAAAAGTCGAAAAAATTTGTAAAAATACAACCGACTTTGATATCAATGTGATCTGCATACTAGTTAATAGACAACCAAGTGGACAAAATCATGTGAGTGTGGACAGCGGAAGTTTTGGCTCAAGTGTACAATATCGATCATTTTCAATTATAGAAATCTATGGTATTGAACAAGTTAGGAGGGGTTACGTTCTCGACAGAAAGATTGGTATTATTGCACAGGTGTTAATGTCAGAGCCTCACAAATAGTAGAGGTAACCATTGAAAATTGCTCTGATTTATGTATGTCATGACTATAAAGAAAGGTATCTTTAATTATTGTAAGAAATATAAATAGTGTTTACAAATGATTGTGATATCTTGACCATGAATCAAGTGTTGTGTACTGTAAAACACTGAATTTAGATTGTATTTATCATTTACAATTACATAGAAACTGTTATCTTATTTACATATGATATCATTATAATTTTGTTTGTTTTGTGTATTGTTTACAAAGAAAATCGGGACTATCAATTTGTGTGCAACTTTCTGATTTTTCTTAATTGACAAGTTTGTCATGCAAAGATGATGGAAATATTGAAGGTGTTTGCTGCATTACAATATGTATGAAATAAAATACTTGTCAAATTAAGCAAAATTGTATCTGAAAATTATAAATGTCAAATATACGTGTGTACATGTGAGTGTTTTTGCATTCCCCCCTTTTTTCTATGTACGTGTCCTTCATTTTTGGTATAAATAATTAAATATCGTCGAACGAACTATCAGTAAACCCACTGTGTGTTGTGCTTTGACGTGGTAATGTGACGGAGCAAATAAATAAGGTAACCCAGTGTGGGACCTAAAGAAAGGTACATGAAGGTTCTTTTAATGAAAAGTAGTCCTCGGTTGTTTAAACCAAAATATCTTTCAAAAATGAAGGGATATACAATGTACATGTAAAAAAGATCACTTCCATTATCATTGACATTGTTATTGCTTTATTGCACGAAGTCCTATATTGGTCATATTGTTGTGGTTTTGTTTGATTTTTAGTAAGACATATATCTAAATTAATAATTTTTTCAGTTTTAACATCGAAAAATATCATATTAAAATGATTAACTTGACTTGCTCAAATGAAACTCCTTTATTGTAACTAAGGGATTTTCAATATTTCCAATTAATTTTGGTAATGATAAAATGTTGTTGTTGATGATGATGATTTAATGATGATTACAACAATGATGGTACCAATGATAATGATAAGTGCGATGATTGTCTGATGATGATGATGCGGATGATATACTGTTGATGATGATGTGCTTGTGATAATAATGATGATGATAATGTATTGTCAGTATTGATGAATATATTGACGATGATAATGATGATGATGATGATGTAGATGCATTGATGTTGAACACAACGATGTAATGATAATGATGATTATGATGATGTGTACTGCTTATGATGATGATTTTGATGATGACGATGTAGTTATTAGAAATCTATCCAGCTAGCTTACGGAACGTCGGTGGTTCTACTCGGGTGCCCTTCAGCACGAACGGGCACCTGAGGTCTTCCTCCATCAGTAAAGCTGGAAAGTCGTCATATGACCTATACTGTGTTGGTGCGACGTAGAACCCATTCACAAAAAAGTGTAATTATGGTTATGATATTGTTGTTGATGATGACTGATATGATGATAACGCAATCGCAATTTTTCGGCCCTTTCCGTCAGTCTTCGGATAAGGACATGGAACACAATAGTAAGAATATACAGAACGGATACGGTATTTCAGTCTAACCTACGCTAATTAAGAAACTAAACATGTAAACAAATAGGCATTTAATGTTTGGAGTTGTTAGTTTAAACAATATTTTATTCACAAAATAATACATGCTAGTACATTACATATAGTATTGAGTTTGTTATACATATAGTAACATATTATGAAAATAATATTATTTTCAAGAACGAAAACAATATATTCCTTATACATTTTGGAATTGGATATGAAAACAAGTATCAAATACTTATGTTGATTCATCTTCTAAGGTGTTGAAGGAAGAATGGCTTAGATTCGTTAAGTAATGTAATGTGTAAGGATATATAGATGTAATAATAATTATTATTATGTTTTGCTGCTTCAGTGCTTGGAGATTTTTGTCTTTGATAGCGTGAAGTAAATTTGTAGAGTAAACGGTAATATATCAGACCGCTGCGACGTAAAGCGACGCGATGCGACAATTTAAACCACTTCAAACCACTTGGCCCTAACCGCTGTTGGTTCGGATCCCGATAGTGGCTTTGGATTCTTTCATGTGTGGAAGCTACCATCTGTAGCTAACAGAACGTTGGTAGTTCTACACACGAAGGCGCCGGTTCGTGTCTGAAACTATCAACATCAATGCACAGTTCAAGGGCACCTGAATCATTCCTCCACCATTTAAGCTTGAAAGTCGCCATTTAACTGATACGTACTGTATTGATGCCACGTTTGCCACGTTATAAATCCAGCAACCACAAAGAAAATCTCACTGGTTGGCAAAAACAGAAAATATGAAACGTAAACACGCGCTAATATTACTTATAATAGGCGCGTTAAAAAACTCCCAGAACTCGTATTATGCAATTTCATTCAACTAATTAAAAAAAAAGTTTGTAATAAACATTCACGTATTCAATATCCTAGTAATGTACTATATATATAGTAGCTAGTCCAGCAAATTAATTGCAGTCAAAACAATCTATAGTCTATAGTGGGTATAGATGGATACCGAAAATAAGCTATTTTCGCGAAAATAAGATCGCGGCTACGAAAATAAGATTCATTTTTTAAATAGTGCATTTATCTGTTGAAATAATTATGTAAAATATATATTTATGCATTCATTGAATGATTTTACAGCAAATTAAAATTTCAAAATTTTTTTTTAAAAAAAAGTTAAGTTTGAGCCTAAAATACTATCGTACGAAAATAGCTCAAAATTGCCGTTAAAGCAAAAATAAGATCGGGTCTACGAAAATAAGATTTATTTTTTGATATACTGTATTAAAAACGTATTTTTTGTTTCTTAATAATTGATTTGTATGAATGAAATAATAAATTTCAGATCTAAAAATATATTTTAATGTTTTAAAACGGGAAGTTTGAGCCGAAAATGCTATCGTATGAAAATAGCTTGAATTGCCGTGTAAATCGAAAATACGATCGGGTCTGCGAAAATAAGATTTTTTTTTATATAATGTATCAAAAACTATTTTTGCTGTTATTAAATGATTTGTTTGAATGAAATAATGAAGAATAATTTTTTTGTAATGAAATATTTGACGTTTGTGCGGCAAATATGGTAAATATTCCAAATTTAGTGTAGTAAGAACGCATGAACATATAACCAAGATGACATCTACGATAATATGTATAAGATTTACATGGTTCATAACTTATATTAAAATAGTATTAACTTTACTTTTTAATAATTTTGCAAACAAGTATTAAGAATGAAATGTTCTCTTATAAGACAAGAAATGTTTGTGGTGAAAAAGTATCAAAATAAAAAAAAAGAACTAAATTGCAAAAACAACCTGAAACAACGACTACAAAAATAAGTTCTAGATCTATATAAGAATATGTACCGTAAGAAAATAAAATCATAACAGTATTCTACGAAAATAAAATCTGTAAGGAACTAAACGCTGTATGAAAATAATGTTCATACTAAAAAAGGTATCTTTAAATAATGTCTACCAAAATAAGATCTTGCTGTAAATAGTGAATACCTGTATGAAAATATTAATTATTTATGAAAGTACTAAATGTACGAAAATAAGATCTGTAAACAATTCAAAGTCAAAACCTGTATGAATTGATATTCGGACAAAAATAATTGAGAATATGATCTGTATGGAAATACTATATGTACGAAAATAAGATCCTATTGAAAATAAAACTATACGAAAATAAGATCTGTATGAAAATATTGTCTGTATTCGACTAAGATTTTTACAAATGTAAGATATCTGAAATGAAAGTTGCATGAAAATAATATCCTTACGAGAATAAGATACATATGGAAATAATATATGTAAAAAATAATACCGGTATGAAAATACTATATATACGAAAATAATTAAGATCCTATAGAAAATGTGATCTATACGAAAAAAAATAAGATCTGTAAGAAAATAATACGCACTAATATATTATCTATATGAAAATAAGATCTGTATGAAATAATGTCTGTTTTTACTAAGTTTTCGAAAATAAGATCTGTGAAAATAAAAACTGTATGAAAATAATATCCTTGGGAAAATAAGATATATACGAAAATAATTAAGATCTGTACGAAAATAATGTCTGTATAGGAATAAGACTTATACGAAAATGATATTTGTATGATAATAATATCTTTATCAGAATGATATGAAAAACGACTCTATATGCTAATAATGTCTTTATAAAATAAGATCTTTAACGAAAATAAGATCTGTGTAAAAATATATCTTTTTGATAACAAAATCTGTAAAAAATAAGATATCTATATGAAAATTTGATTGGTGACTATGATAAATCGCCAATAAACACCTTTAATGATGGGCTTTAATAAGTGTGTGTCAATTACGGTAAGTGCGAAAATCCAATAATCCAATCATCGTATTAGCGCATTGATTGCTGCCGACAGTCATGTGCACGTGTCATACGTTTTATTAGTTTTTTCCTTCTCTCAAATATTTCAATTCAATTCATTTTCAATTCATTATATTCCAATAGAAATATCTTGTTTATGCATTATCTAATTAAAGCACTTAAAGCAATAAAGTTATATATTTTTCTTTTACTTAATATAGATATTATTTTCATATTAGAATCTACAATTATTTTCAATTATCTTTTGAGTGAGCACCAAAAGGAATTATATTGGTAAAAATCAGTTCCATATTGATATCTTATTTTCATATAGATATCCTATTGCTTACAGATTTTGATCTCTTTTTCGTATCATTTTTGAAACAGATATTATGTTCATACTAATACATTTGTATTATTTTCGTATAGATCTTATTTTCGTAAGGAAATCATTTTCATGCAAATTTCATATTCACAGATCTTATAAAAATATTTGTAAAAATCTTAGTCAAAAACATATTTTTCATATAGATTTTATTTTTGCAGAGATCTTATTTTCGTTTACGAGTAGATCTTATTTTCGTGCAGATATATCAATCCATGCAGTAATTGTTTTTACAGATCTTATTTTCGTACATATACAGTATAGTATTTTCATACAGGTATTTTTTTTAACAAAGCTCATGTTCGTATATATATCTTATTTTGCCATAGATCATATTTTCAATTAGATCTTATTTTCGTACAAATATCAATTGATATATACGGATTTTAATTGTTTACAGATCTTATTTCCGTATAGATCATCAATTGGATCTTATTTTCGTACATGTAGTATTTTTCATACATAATTTTACATAATTTTCAAACTTACGATTCTTTTATTACATGCTTTTCGGTGGTTTATAGAAATATATCAGTGATATAAAACTGGTAATTTCACTGTTTGAAACAGTGAAATTACCACTTTGATAATTTCACTGTTTTGAATTTAAGCCCCTTACGTTGTTTCAGTGAAATACCAGCGTGCACAGTACTGGGTACCAGCTTAATGACGTGACGTCGTAAATGACGTCACGTTGTATTATTATTTGGCGCTTTTTCATTCCGTATTAGGTTAAATGTCTTTTTAAAACATTTCTTTGCATGTAATAAAAAGAAAATTTGTTTAGTTTAGTGTAAGATTGAAATATATTTCACCTGGTGAACACCAAAAGTTCATATTTCACTCGTGGCTGCGCCACTCGTGAAATATTCCTTTTGGTGCTCACTCGGTGAAATATATTCCGATCTTACACTGAACTAAACAAATATCCTCTATATAATTATATTTTCGTAGAGTACTGTACTGTACTGTACTGTACGGTATAGATTTTATTTTC